CCCCCCCCCCCCGCCCCATGAGTTCGCTTTGTGTACTGTAGTGAAATCGATAAGATACTGCTGGCACAGTTAACCGATTTGTATTTCTCGATGTTGTACCGTATTATACCCTCTGATATCAATCTTTTTTCTCTGTCTTCTTTTTCCTTGGTTCTATAAAGTAAAATGAAATCTGAATCGCGTGAGCTATGTCTGATGAAATATAGTCAATTCCAATTATTATGCCAAACAGCATTCCGTTATAAAATACTATAAATTAAGATGTAGATTATTTATTTTTACTACGCTCTCGCAATAATTTATTGTGTATATAAATTATAAAATATTTTGATCTTTTATTTGTAAAAACTGGTTTTTTGTTCCTTTCTGTTTCTTTGCTTGTTGTGCAATATGAATTTGACAAACACTTTTTATTCATGTAGAAAATATACAATGACTGCTGCAAACTGAATTTTTCTGTGTTTGACATTACCGATGTGGCTTTGTCCTTTAGAATTTTTCTCAAGATGTCCGACGATGAAATTCCAGATCGATGGAACGTAATATTTTATTGCTTACATAACCAATACGAAACAGGTTCTTTTTATCATATCAATCAATTTTTTATTGCCTCTTGCAATCGAATACGCCAATCCAGATTGATAAGCTCACGTGTCGCAATGTAAATTAACCTGGCCGCTATGGGATGGCTAAGGATAAGGGACATGACTAAGGTTACGTCGGAAGGGGTCGAGGTTACGTGATTCTAGTATGGAGAGATAGCTATCCTCGATGTGATCCTGTATTACCTGTCTCTCTGTCTCTCTCTCTCTCTCTCTCTCTCTCTCTCTCTCTCTCTCTCTCTCCCTCTCTCCCTTTACTCTCGAAGCTAGATTCAACCCCCGCAAGCTTAGCTTAACCCGAGACGCCACAAGAGGCAATTAACCCTGCGCCAACCCCTTTGCGCACGTACCTTTTACCTCTTCACCGAGCTCACCGCGTTCTGGTCCTACCTATGTTTCTCGTTCCGTCTCAATCCCTTCTCCCTCTTTCATCCCCGTATTTAATCCGCCGCTCTAGCTCCTCGCCGCCCCGTAACATTGATATCCTACACGTCTGCATAATCATGCACAATTCCCAATGCTAATTAGAATCCATGCCGGTAGCCTAGCTGTAGCAAATACGCATCAACCTCCATCACCCTACAGAGTCACAGCGTGTAGACGTGTCTCACATCGCGTCACGTCACCTTGAGAAAAAAAAAGGGACGTAAAAGCAGCTTGTGAGGGCAGGGCAAAGCGAAGGGGAAAAGGGCACGGCGGTGGCTGCGGCGTGGCGATGTATGTGGGCGCAAGAAACCGACCGAACTCGCGCGCAAAATCGATTACTCTCTTCGCGGCTAAATTTTTGCAGTCGTTACATTATCAACTACTTACCGGCGGAAGTGGTGTGGCCACTTTTATCCCGGAACAAAGTAAGAAATCGATTTAGCCCCGGCGTGAAGCGTGTGATACTCGGTATGCGTTTCTGATCAGATACGGATTAAGTGTTGACGCGATGTTACGAGAGATCTTCCCCTTTTTTTTCTGTTTATCATCCCAAGTCAGCTTCTAAAAACGTTCCCTTAGACGGCGTCGATTTTCGTTGATAATGTACGCACGCATGAAGGTCACTTGGACATTGAACGTTACGCTAATTAAAGGTTGCCAGGTTACGGATCGTAATTGCAATCTTCTTCCACGAAATAAGCGACCACCCGAGAGACAGAAAGACGAAATTACTGATACATACAATTCGTTGCGGCCTTGGCGAGAAGTGTTGGAGACACTGATATTTGTGCCTTCAATAAGCGACAGATGTAGCAAGTAATGAAGCGTAATTGTGCCTAATTATTCTGTTCAGTAATCCACCGGCATTATTAGCACGTGTGCATGCACGAGTGTATAATTAACTTTAACCGGTAGGATAAAGTCAGAAGCAACTTCAATTAAATGATACGGCGAAGTCGATCGGTTTCCTTACGTTGCCAGCTGCGAGGAAAGGAAGTTTGGGACGAAAAAGAAGATATGTCTGTGATAATATCTACGGTAATGTGGATACAAGAACATTCGCAGAGATGGGCAGTGATTATTATTTTTTTTTTCTGTTTCTGGTTGTAGCTAACGAACGTCCTTCTATCCTGATACGTTCAACTCTGCGATCTGCCCATCTAACCGAATCTAATTAGAATTAGTAGAACGCCTCTGCAAAGCTTCCACCCGACTACAAGGTAAGCGTGGGTGGTAAAAGGCATGCTCTACTAAAAGCTACGTATATTGGCTGCAACCTCGCAATGCGGTACACTCGTAGAAGTTTGATATAGTACGAAGTAGCGTCCATCCGAATTCCGAATAGAAAGGGATATTAAAGAGATAGCCGCGTGAGAGTATTACTTTTGTCGATCGCTTCGAGAATCGTGATATGCGCACGATCCTCTTCGCGGCACGCACCGGTTTGAGAACTCACGTCCATGTGAAGTCAGCCAAAGATTCGTTAATAGCGATTTACGCAGGAAGACGAGATTGACGATATTGCCGTGGGAGCTGATGGGAGAAGTCGTTCAGAAACGACGCGCGGAGTATCCGCCGTCATACAATTTACAAAGACTGTCAGTGCGCCCGGGCATGGAATGCATTCCGGGTACGGAAACGGAGACCGATAAAGCCTCCTGATGTTTCAGCATTTGTCGGCGTCGTTGCCAGGTGAAGGTCCATGCCGCTATGATGGCAATCTGGGCGACGAGGAAGACGGTGCCAGCTACAATAGCCTCACCCAGATTGATGCACATTCCCATCGACGACGATATGTCTTCACTCTCGACGAAGACGGTGTCCCTCGTCGCGGAAGTGACGTTCGGTAACTTACCATCGCGCTCGAAGCCAAACTTGTCCGTAATTTGGATGGATTGCACCAGGAGGAGGTCCTCGCGACTTTGGGTGCCAACAGCAGTGGAGCGACGACGTCGTCGGCGTCTGCCGAAGGAGATAACCGATCGTAGTTCACCGGTCGTTTCCTCCTGGTCGCACTGCACGGGTTCGCAAGTCGGCATGCACGGAGTGACCAGAGCGCGGAACTGCACCACTTCTGAACTCGGGAACTTGAAGGCGTCAAAGTGCGACAGCAGTATCTGTAAGGAAAAGGATAAAAAAGGTCATAAGTCGCTTGAGAATTTGTAAGAACGAAAGAGGATTACTGATGAGAGCATCGTAAGACATTCATTCGTGACAGCTAATAAAAATTTCTTTCTGATTTTATAAATTCGAATAAATTGAAAAATCAATTTAAGACAGCAACATAAATAAATACTTTGGATTAGTTCAATTAGTGCCTTTGGAGCCTTTTCGTCGAGTTGAAAATTATTACAGCGAAGAAGCGTACAAATTTAAAAAAATGATATTTATATTCACATATAGTTTGTTTAGTTTAACAGAATATTAACACGTTCCATGGATCATCGGTGATCCACGTTAGACTTTCCGTTCAGATTAATATTTTAGCTGTAAAAAACGTAATTATAAAATAATTCGATATATATTATATACTAAAAAAGAATGATGTTATAACAGTGTTATTTTAATTGAAAATAATTTTGTTAATTCACAATAACTATCATGAAACAAATCATGCTCTTGTTTTAATAAAATTTTATTTGTCGCATTAATACTGCTGTTAAACCACGAGATTATTTTCGATTAAAATAATACTGTTGATACATCACTTTTTCAATGTACTGCATAAAGATACATAATTATAATATATGACATAATATTAGTTACATAGACACATTAGGTCTTTTTTTACAGTAATATTTATAATTGTTTATTATTTTGAAATACATATTATTTGATAAATATAACAAAGTAGTGCTGAAGTCTTAAAATTAACGCAGCATGAAATGTGAAAACTATATTTGATTCCATTGAATTTTACGTGTGTGAGTAAAAGAGTTGAATTTTCTATAAATTCAAAATTCGATATTCAGTAATGATAAGTAAACGAATCATCATGATCTTTACTTTTAATTTTCGACACGGCGTGTAAATACATTTCAACGAGAAGCAGGAAATTCGATACGTGGAATGTAATAAAACGAACTTCCTCGCGTACTCTGTCCCTTTCGACGGATTGCAAGTCACGTAACCAATTGTTTCACGCCGTTACTTGTCGCTCGGATAATACATAAACACCTGTGCCGAATGGCTCCTCGGAACGCAACGATTTCGCCGTTCGGGGCTTTTGTCGAGTTCGCATACCGTTAGTAAACTACAGTGCCAATATTATGACATTTGCGGCGCGTCCTCGTCACCACTTCTCTTTCGTCGCTCTTTATTATCTCGGTAGTTGTACAGAATTTCTGTAGTTTTTTTTTTCATTGTTTCAGCAAGAAACAAATTAAAGTACCATCAGGCACCAGTGTTAACTGAGAGTGGTGTGTTTGCCATGGATTTCGAGACGACAGATTTATACTTGACGTTTTTCACAAAGTTAGGAACTACCTAACAATAGTAAATGTAATCAGCGCGAGGCAGCTGCGGAACGCGCGCGTATCTTGCTTTTTTTTACATACTCGTAATTCATACGCGATGTCGGTGCCGTCGACTTAACTAAGCAGTGTCGCATTAATTCTGAAATTCCGACACGGGCGGTCGTTCGCTCATAGAATTCAGTGTGAATGCGGAATAATGGTAATCTTACCCATATGTCGCTCTCACATAAATTTTCAACTATATTCCAAAGTCAGGAACGCGCGCGGGCGCGGCAAACGTGATTTTACTCGCGATCGCGACGTCGCACGAGCACGCAGAGAAAAAAAAACGCAGGGCTCTTACAGAAGAGGGATTACAGAATGCGGATGTCAAGAGATCGCGTAACCCAATGGGCGTCAGTCGTCGCACGCAATATGCGTAAGAGAGATGATGATCACTTGAAACTGGTTTTTCACGTCCCGCGGCAGCTGCGTCGAATTTTTTTGCTCTTTATTAGGTAAGGCTATATAACGGCAATTACACGGGATTATGACATGAAAAACAGCCCAAGTACCCGCTTTTACGCGCGCCATTAGAGTGCACCTATATCTATCCCTGACAAATGGTGCGACCAAGCGCGTTGCTGTAATTCCTATTTTCTCGCGACAAGCGGATCTATCCGTTAAAATCTTTTTTATTCGCCGACAATCTATCGTTGTTATATTGCTCCGGAATTTTTTACCGCCACCCTGATACCACAGTGATCGGAATTGTTACAGGGAATTCAAGTCTTTCTCTTCTCCTTCCTCTTCTCCCTCTTCTCTCTCTCTCTCTCTCTCTCTCTCTCTCTCTCTCATAGTTTCTTACGAAACGAATATATGATAATCACTCGTGTTCGCTCGTTAGACTCGTCATCCGCAGATAATCTCGCGATCATCGTTTCACCGGAGGAACACTGTAATATATTCATAGCTACGTCCGCGCACATGGCTCGTCATTGATTTCTCTTCATTCAGATCATTCGCTACATGCTCGCAGGGTCAAGTCTCGACGTAGCTGATCTTCCCGTAGCTGAACTTTTCTTTAAACCGAGAAAGACCACTATACGCAAGGTTAGCGCCATGCTCATGTGTACGTTGAAAACTGGTTTCTGCGGCGCATTACCAAGTTCATCGTATTTACACACCGAGCACGTATATTATCGGCGGGAAGTAAGACATTAAAATATGCTTCGTTCCACGTACAGCTTCATTTAGCCGTTTCTTTGCCTGAGCGCGTCTAGTGGAACGAGCGGAACTTTATTAACCCAACGTCATCCCGCGCAGAAAGAGTAGCGGAAGGTCCATTCTCCGCGGGGGAAAAGCGAGAGCGATTGCATTTGAGGCGGATGGGAGAAGAAGCGTAAGCGGATCGAAGGAAGAAGAGAGGATGAAGAGGAAAGCCTGGGGACGGGGTTTAAAAGACAGAGAAAGAGAAATAGAGAGAGGTACATACATATAGGTGGATGCCGGGAAAAGAAACACAGGCCGTATCCGCGGCATCTGGTATACACGCCGACGATAAGTCTCCTTCAGCGGCAACGACGTCGGCGATGGGAAAGGACGAGAAAGAGGAGAGCCCGTCATAAATGTACCGCATCAGATCAGTCAGATCGTAAGGCTTGCCGCCCGCGCTTTTATGCCGTAGCTCAACCTGATCCCCCTTGTCTGCTTTATAAGTCGGCCGCAGGCTCTCCCCTATCCGCCCGGTTCATCCCTACGTATGTAGTAGGGGTACATGCTCCCTTACGAGCTTACGTACACGAACGTAGTGGTTGAGAAATGTTTCCAATTTCATTCAAACCGGTTGTGAAATGGAAGAGAGCATTCGTACCCGCGGCCCGGTTACGTGACGGACATACCGGAGAGCCGAACTTTTGGCAAATTTCTGGTTAGACGAGGCGCAATGCTGTAGTGCCATCACTGACACTGCCGCTTGCTTCGTCATCGACGATCGTTTCTCTTTCTATCCTGATCCAGGATTAATAAAATCAACAGCGTTGTATACTGATTGACTTTCGCGACATGTTCGCTCGTTCACTTTACGATCGTCCATATTTATGTGACAGATAAACTGTTTCTCATTATCAGAGGTGCTATTAATGGCGTGAGTAAGTTCTCGCATATGTAAAAGATGTGACATATACGATGTAATATATATTTTATGCCAACGACATGAGCATTCAGTAAGTTCATAAACGGTAGATAGAGAACAATTCGCTTCACGAATACTTCGTTAAACAGATTTTATAAGAGTACTTTCAAGTTCACAAACATATCATTTTATTATATCAAAATAATTTTATTTAACAGACAAGACTAGTCACACTTTTTTTTCGGCATCTATTAAATATTCTACAATGTATACATTCACTTGTCCCGAATTAATATCATCAGACTATTAATTAGTAGATAATTAATTACTGTAATTGCAAATGTTTTTATCAATTACATCGGAAATGTTTTGATCAACTTGAAATTAACTAAGCACTGTAGTGTTCCCGGTAATAATTAATTGTTAATCGTTTATTAGCTTGTACCTCTACATCTACGTAGAGAGAAGATTTCAGCCTCCCGAGATTAAGAAAGACAAAGAATGAACAGGCAACTTCCTGCTATCGGGTATATCTCGGGTCAAACGATGCCCCTTCGTTTACCGAGAATCAATGTTGCGAACGTTTATTACCATATCATAATGACGGTATACTGTCGCAAACGACGGAGATTATTGATAGCTGATAGCGTGGCATATATCAAAGTTGTTGTCAGGCGTTTTATCATTCATGCCAATCGACAGGTAAATAAGGTGCGTACGGATAATATACGGCGCGAATATACGATCGCGATGAAATCTTCTGCTTGAAGTTACGTTACGGCTTCTACAGATTAGAATTTACATACACCCTGCCACGTTTTGATTAAACGTGCGAGATGAGAATTGAATAGAGCGATGAATTTTTCTTACTCTCGCCTGCTCGACCAAAAATTCACCAAGAGATCGGCAAATTCACATTGAGATCTCTATCTCTTCGTATCGAGCGCAGCTTCGTTCGACAGGAAATGGGGTTAGCCCTTCGTGATCAGCCGCGGTCAGGAAACGAGATCAGCCAGAGCGCGATGCGCACGTTCTAAACCGGAATACGGCGCCACGACGCCTGATACAGGAATGACTGTGGGTGATATATCTAGATGCTCGGCATCTTACGTACGTACTCGATATAAATTTACTCTTTGTTTCTACCATGACTGTTATTACTTTCTAATAAAGCGATATTGCGCCGTACCGTGGCCGTGCTCGCGCGAGCAAATGATGTGGAACGACGAGTTAACGAGGCCGTGCGCCTCTTATTGCTCCACCTTCGCTCCAGCACTCGTTTCTACCTGCCACTATCGTAACGATCCGTTTGTTTTACTCGTCGACACGTGAAGCATCAGCCACGCGGTCCACGACCGCGCATCAGCTGGTTCGAATGTTGCGCGTCTCGAACACAATGTAGCCAAAGAAAGCCCTCCGTCCGCGATATTCGCGATACTTCCGCGATATTCGCGAGCCCGAGATACGGAGAGAGAGAACATAATTGGAAAAGTCTAAACCATGTTACATCGCCGGTTAGACTAGCGTAAGAAAGACTGCTCGAATTATCGGGAAACATTTTTATAGGTATATTAATGCCCAGCTCGCAGAATCATATTTCTCGTTGCGGCGCGCGTCTGACGTTATATCATGCGAGTCATCGTACAAAATGTACGAGCGGTATATGTGTAATTGGTCTATCGAGGTCAATACGTGGCGATCGCCTACCTATTAACCGCGCAAGAATTATTGTACTTCCGCCCTAATGCGTTTTCGCTCTAGCTCACCCACGATACTTCACGCATCGCGCGAGAAAGAGTAGAGGATTAAACTATTTTTTCGCGATCTAATGGGATCGCAAAGTCAATTCCCATGTTACCTTATGCGGGAAACGCGGAAGTAATAATCGTGGCTCTACGAGCTCGGTCGTTTTGAACGCAACGGTGTTTCATTATTTAATGATCCGTCTTCATACATTTGAATGAAAGACGTTAGTTCTCAATCATATCTGCGAGTCTTATCTATATTTCTTTTCTTGTTTTGTCATTCCACGCTATAAGGCAAACTGTGAGAATTTGTACGATAAGCGTGTTTAATTGTTAAATTCATATAAATCATATATAAAAACTTCACTGCAACGTGTCTGAGAAATTACGAGTGAAAATCGAAATTATTTAGGATGATGATCGAACCAATCTCGCTTTTAAGCTCTTACTCTCGGCATCGGAGATAATCTTACGCTCCCTTATGTGGAACACACGGAAAGTAATGATCGTTACCAGACCAATGCGCCCGCATGCCAGGCATGTCACGGCACGTCATCGCCAAGACGGCGGCGCATCATCGACGCGACCTATTACAGGCCGGGCAAATTGCTTCCCATCATAAAATCCGTTTGGGTGATTGATTAGCATGAAGTTAGATCACCCGGTTGACTCGTGTCTGCTTCCATCTCGCTCTTTTTCCCACCTACTCTGTACCCGCGCGTATTTCGAGGCACGCGCGCGTTCCCACAAAATACACGTCAATAAGCATCGACGTTAAACGCGTCAATCATCTCGATCATCTTGTCCTCTGGGTATATCATGTCCGATCGCTAAATTAGAATCGACATTTATCCATATTTTCTATTACTCTCAAGACAGCTACGCGCATATACGATTTTATGTGTTTTTTTTTCTAAATATCTCTTTATTATCTACTTTTGTATCGAATTTGTTTACTTGACTTACGACTGCAATGCACGAGATGATCGAGCATTTTGTATTGAGTGAAAACGTTAGACTAAGAGCAAGGGCTCCCGCATACAAAGCATAAACAGTAAAACGTAAGCAGTAATCAAATCAACACTTTTCTATTTCCTATTTCCTTATTACGCTCTACGTTTTCTACTGTGATTGACAGATTCGCTTATTATTTACGTCTTACTACTTACGTTTTTCTATATGCCATAATCTTAACACTTAACACTTAAATATTGGCTACATTAATTTCCTTGGAAATAATTTCCCATCACCTCAGTGATGGGAAATTATTGTTAACGTAAAATTAGGAAGATATATATTATAATTATTCCTGAGATAGAAACTTTCATTTGTTTGCACTACTTATTGTTAAATTTATCTTTCGATTCTCTACCGTTTATTTTTTTATGAGCTCAGCATTGAACAAGACTTTTAAAAATGTATAAATTATATGATATATTGATGACTTACCTTGCCAGTGGTAGCCGATTTGTAGAGTGGTCCCATGATGACATGATCAGTGGGGCAGCCGTCCGAATCAATCAAAACAATCTCACTAGAGTCGACGCCATCCATAGCGACTAGCTCGCGGACGAAGATTTCGTACGGACTGTGAGGATCGAGAATTTCGAATTTGAGTGCCAAAGGATCGCCGACTTCAGCCGATGGGATGGCCTCGTTTCCACTGCGATCAGTAATCTTCATGGCGACGTTCGGCGAGTCGACGATCACTTCCTCCGACAGAGCGGGCGTGATGTCGCCGTGTACGCCGAGATCGACTTCATTCGACACGGTTTTGTTAGTGAGGTCATATTGGCAAGTCACAGCCAATCCGAGATCGGAACTGGTGACAATGGTGTCGTGATGTTGAATGATCACGTCGTTCAAATACCGGCCGAGACCCTGCTGCCTTATGTTACACTCGAGATCGTCGTACGCCATGCGAAGTTCAAACTCGAGCGCACCCTTGATGTCCTGCACGCACGAGTTGGGCGAGCCCTTCGCATACACCTTACCGTAGAAGAGCTTACTGGTCTGAATTCTGGTCACCATATCGCCAGCGCGACAATCGATGGTCACGTTGTAACAGGAGCTCAGTTCGTACGTGGCCGCTTCCGGTACATCGAGATACGGTTCCTGAAATTATCGTTTGTTTTCGGGCCGTTATTCATCGCTCCCTATCGTGTACTATTCGATGCATATCGCGCGTTAATGCGATTTGTCGCGGTATTAATTTAAAGGAATTATAGCGGATGGCAGTGATAAATTCCAAAATACGCAAAGCACGGATATTTCGCAATTAAACTTCGCGAAGCTACCCCGCGATTTATTGATCAATCTTCTATTTTGCTCGCTTCACCATGGTTGGGAGATTTTGATAGCTTGTATCGGGCTTACACAAAAACTTTCAGAGAATTTATGACGAGAATTGAACAACGAACGGAAAGTGTATATCGAAATTCCACTGCAACATACTGTACATTGAATCTTTAGTGATATAGTTCGCATAACAATTATATTATATTCGACAACACGTACACCTAGGCTAGAAGCGTGTGAAATTCGTAATTTACACAAAAAAAAAACCGTCACAGCACTTTCAAATATAATTGTTTCCGTCTGTCTAAAAAGAAGTCGATTGTTGCGTATTTTATTTGAATTGATTTTCATTTTCTCTGCAATATATTACGTGAAATATAATATATAATTTTATCTATCGAAATAATTAACCATGTTCTTTATTCTCCACATCTAAAGCGTCACGTTCTAATTTATTTGATACGATACATCAAAAACCAATAATTATCAATGATATATACATACGACATATACGTGTACATTTTCATTTATACCGAGAATGATAATCCGCTCTGATTCACGCATTTGTCACTTTCAAAGAATTATTTGAAATCCCTTTATATGGCGGTATTTATCGCTTCTCGTTCGAGGCTCGATGGTCCTCTTCGATGAACAAATTAATCGCGAATATTACACTGATAAATACTCTTGACGTTTCGCGCTATCTCCGCAGTTAATAATTTGTATATTTGTGGAGATGCCGCTGATGTGCTTGCGTAACCACCCATGGAGCCCGTCACGGATCCCACGCACACGATTATCTTCCCATTATACGTATTATTTGCTCATCTCCGAGTGAATGATCGTGCATGAAACCCGTATGGTCATCCATATACTGTGACGTCGAAATGATATTCCGATTCGCTTAACACTGTTTAAATATTCCACTACAATAATTATTCGTACGAAGAATTATTATTTAATGGTCTGGTATTAGTGTTTGTCCCCGTATTTGTAGTGGAGCATAAAAAGGCGTAGATAATCGGATACCCAACGAATTTGTGGTCGGTAAATTTTTCTTTTGATTTTCTCTCCGGGATCTACCGAGCGCGATTCACATTCGGCTGAACTCGAGTGTTACCCGAAAGTTCGATAGGGAAAGCGTCTGCAATGGAAACTCGATTTTCCACGAATGCGCCCTCGGCGGATTGTTCAACTTGGTTTGCATGTGTAGGACGTAATCGTATTTATAGAAAATCCCCACTGGCCCTTTCAAGAATCCGCACTGCGATGCGGTGAGCAAAACGACACGGTGGTCGCAAAGCTACACGGGACTCTATTTTAAACACTCTCGATGAATTAAACCGCATACGGCAAGCTCAGCAAGTAAATTGGAACACGAGCAATGTCCATTTCTCGCATAGCAACAATCTCAATTGCTTCGCGAAATTTAATTCGTAAAAGTTTTCCTCATAAATTTAAATTTGCAATTTCATTCGCGGCCGCGATATCATTCGCGTGACATTAAAAATAAGAATTTTTATTCGCTCGAATTTTTCTTACCTGAATGTCAGAGAGAGTGGCACGGGAATGATGACTAAGACGGCAGACCATATCACCGGTGTCACCGTAATCATAAGAGTGGCAACGGAATGGCGAATTCAGACACAATTCGCGGCATTCATCGGACGTGCTGACATCTTGATAGACGGAGTCCACAGTCTTTAATATACGGCCGGTTAGTTTCTTAAATTCGCAAAGTTTCACTGGCTCTTCCACGCAGTGGTTTTCCAAATAATCCACACCCTTCGCTGCCTGGAAGGCATTCGAGCCCGCAACCGTCAGCCTGTCCATATCCGAAAGTTCGCACTGCTTGGTAGCATTGATATAATTAGCGGATCTGAAATTCAAATTAAAAAAAATTTCAAACGACTTGTATAGCTTATATCATCAATTAGTTTCTTATCTACGATGATTTCAAATGCAATTTGTATTACGAGAAACTAATGATTACATTACATTATTTCGAAGCAATTAAGCGTCTTCAAGTATAAACTATCCTCATAAATATGATATGTGTATATTGCCTACAGCCATTAAAGTTTAATGTTAAACGCACGACGTCCGGAAGATTAAAATAGCGAAGAGGAAAATATAGTCTCTCATCTCGCGATAAAAACATACGAGGAGGACGCACGTGCTATCCCTCGTTGTCCCTCGACTATCATCTCGCGCTAATCCTGGAAAGTAAGTTATAAAGGAAACATTCATGCACGAACGAATCTGAGTCACGGGTTTTATTTCTAGCGGAGACACGCGACTACACAAAATCCGCGTCCGCCAGAGAATAATTGTTTCCTGCAGCGTTTTATTGCATCGTAATAATGCGTGGTTAATAATATTAAACGGAGCTGAGCGAGGATTACAATTAAGAACGTTAATTTACTAATGCTAACCCTTGAGAGAGAGTGTCATATTCTCGGCCCATTCTCATTTCTCTCTTCTACGCCCACTGCATGCTGCACCAGGGATATCGAATGCCCGGCGTGTCGAAACGGAAGATACGGAAGATAATAACTCTCTCAACATTTTATGAAATTTTATCTTAACGCTGCACACGATCTAACGGCCTGAATAGCAGCCCCCGACAAATCGTACGTCTACTCATCCATAATTATGGACATCTGGATGATGGAGTGACGTTTACATTAACGTTTCAAGCGCTATATAAACGGTACGCGATACATTCACGTCCATGATCGATTGGCACTTGAATCTGTGAAATTCCTATTTAATTGAATTATGCGAATTGGTTAACGTTTTCTGATAATTTATCTTGATTAGACTACACTCTGTAGCAAAGTGATTTCTGAAACGTAAAAGTTCGTGTCTGAAAGAAACACGTTTGCGAATAAATTCTTCCGCTGAATAATATGGACTTATTTATCAACTTTGAAAATCGGTAGAAGTTCCGTACATTTGATAGAAGATCTAAATCATGAAATGGCAGAATTACATTCGTGGTCAAAAATATTTATCTCGAACCTGCATTGCGTATGTATACACTGATAACAGACACCATACAATATTGTTCTGTAAATATTTGTTTTCGACTTCGTAGATATCAGTAAAAACTGATAGTATTTTATTGCCTACGGTACGCAGAGTTCAGTCAACAGAATATTTTATCATACATTTTTATTGATTTTTTTCTCTATATATTCATCATATCGCGATTTTTCTTGTGTTCACAGTAGTCAGTAGAGCTCGGTCGTAATAACGGGACGTTTCATACGGATGGTTGATTTATGACTTATGACTTTAAGAACGCAACATCTTACGCGCACCTAACGTAACTTAATATTAGCCTAACTGTTATAAAATACGACTCTGCGCTTGGCATGTAATGCCCAGAAGTTAAATCATAAAGAATTATACAATGATTAGAATAAGCCTAAGCTTGTAATTTAATTTTAATGAAATAAGCCATTACTTTTTCGAACAAGAAGTCTCGAATCGCATGACTAATTACATTCCTGTATTCCTAAACCTATAATTTTGCAAATGAACGGAGTAGCGTGAAGATATAAGGTACAGACGTATTTAATGCAGCGTGCGTTATAACACATGCGGTCGTATTCTTGCCGGAACCGCAATTTCCTTCGTTCATTCGCTTCTGCTCGACGTAACATATACGAACGCGTGTTCGACATACTTTCAAAACGAGAATCCGGATAAAATTGGGGCTCTGATCTTTTGTATCTGGCT